TAACAATTATATATAATTGTTACTTTTAGCTAGGATTTAGGATGTTAGTTTGCTAGGATTAATATCATTAATTAATATCATTAATATTTTTCAAATAATTCTATACTGAGAAAAAATTTAGTTAATTATATATAACTGTTATATAACAGTTATATTGTTGAGTGGGAAATTATAACTAACAATTATATATAATTGTTACTTTTAACTAGGATTTAGGATGTTAGTTTGCTAGGATTAATATCATTAATATATTTTTCAAATAATTCTATACTGAGAAAAAATTTAGTTAACACCAAAAAATATTGATCTTAGATAAGAACTTTTTTGAATACGTTCAAAACAATTACATAAAGTGTCTGTTAATAGATGAAAAAATATAGATGTAAATTAGATCAAACTGAATACAAAGTTCTTCTACTTATTTACAAAACCACCTAAAATTATTCAAATTTTTACCATATCGGATTTGATTCAATTGTTATTAATTGAAAAATATTTAATAAAATTTAATAAATAATCTCGCGTTATGCAAAGAATAGTTACGTAACTAACAGTTATATAACTATTACTTGCTGTTTGTTGGGATTTCTCTCTCTCTCTCTCTCTTTCTCTCTCTCTCTCTCTCTCTCTCTTCCTCCCTCCCTCTCTCCCTTTCTCTCTCTCTTTCTGCCTCTCTTTCTTCTCCTCTATCTCCCTTATTCTTTTATTTTACTGATATTAGAAACTAATTAAAATAATAGTATTATTATTACTTCGCTCTATACACATACGCGCACGTGCATGCATACATACAATATAACACAACATACACACAGAGCAACATAAAAACAGGAAAGAATATCAATGAAATGTAGAAATCCAAAAATATAATATGTTTGCATATGACTTATAAATGAAACATTAGATGCGTTCAACGAACATAACGGTTGCATAACAGTTGAGTAATTCGTTAACATAACTGGTCTAGATTTAGAAATCTAACAGAGATCTAAAGACTAATAATCACTGACTGCTCACTGACTCATTTTGTTCCGCTGAATGTAGCCATTAGCGTCATTCATTCGTTTTGTCGAGATCTCAGTGAGATTATTCTTATAGAAATATCATACTAAGAATCATTGATAATTACTTATTATCCAGTATTTTTGATACTGAAAATAAGTAATTATCAATGATTCTTAGTATGATATTTCTATAAGGGTAGTGACGATAAAAAATATGTGTTTTACCTGTGAAA